GGTAGAGCTGTTAGCCCCATTTTTTCCTTAGTTACCAAAATAATTGATTCGGCTTCCACTTTACTTAGTGGTCCTGAAAATGAGGGGGAAATTCATCCGTCATCTGAGTCATGAGAATAGAGCAGTACATCCCCTCCTTCACATATACACCCACCCTTTTCTCACAGTAAGGATGTGTGTGTGCGGAAAAAGTTTAAGATGTTGTACATGAAAGGATAGAGCTGTGGTTGCTCTTGGCTCTTGAAAATCTAAGTTGCTGGTGGGCTTCTCAGAGTAGTGCTTCAAACTAATTTGGGGAAGACTGACTTGCTATAACATTCAGGTAAAGGGAAAATGGGAAGAACTTGAAGGGTCCCAAACTCCTTTTTTTTTTTTTGGTACCGGTGATCAAACTCGGGTCCTTGCGCTTGCAAGGCGGGCAGCGGGGGAACTGCTGAGCTAAATCTCCGGCCCCGAACTCCTTTTGACAGAAGCAAAGTGCCCTGGATGCTGAATATGGGCCAGAAAGCCCAGCTTGATTTATTCAGCACTGCTTTCTACAGTCAAGGGAAGATGTCACACCAGGAAAGGCATGTTGGGAAACACAGAGCAGAAAAGTTCTTTTAATAACTGGTTGGGAGATAGAGAGACAAGTAAATAATTCAGTGACCCTCTGCGTGCAGCTTGAGGGGTGAATGCAGCCAGCCCTGTGACCCAGGGTTTCGTATGTTCTGGGCAGGCCCTGCCTGCAGAACACACAGTGTGGTTAGCCATGTCGTTCTCACGCTCCGAGTGCCTTGCTCCATGGGGGCGAAATCAGCACGTCTGCGACAAGAGAAACAATGAATAATACATGATGTTGTCAAATCCCGTGCATTCAGCAGTCTCTGAAGTCTTATCAAATTAAAGCTTCAAGGGGATTCATGTGAACATCTCAAGAGACTCAAGGACTCAGTCACTCCTCACAGGACAGGCAGGCAAGGTGGGGGACCAGAAAGTCAGTTTTCTCTTTGGTGTCTTGCTGGAAACAGATTAGTGCAGGAACCTGGGGCAGGCTTTCCAGAATGCAGACAGAGTGAGGAACCCTCTCACCACTTAGTTGTCCTTTGGGGGGGCCTGTGAGCTATGACAACCCCTTTGCTTTAAAATGCCGAATGGGACAGGGACTTTGACAGCCTAATCATGCAGAGAAAACAGCATCTGTGAGGCAGGATACTTCCAGAGCTCTGCACAGTAATTGTGTGCACATTTCCCATGCAGAGGACCCTTTATATGCAGGGGTCACAAGGCTGGAGTCCAAGAAGCCCGTGATTTAATTCTGTTCCCTTCTATCAGCAGAACACAGAGACTATTGCCACAGGAACACTTTGGTGCCCACATGTTTGAGGCATTCAGCCGAGGGCAGGCACCTGGTTTTGCTTATGTGCTATGGAGGCCAAAGTATGTGGGCCAGGGAAGGGTCTTTAGACAGTGAATTCTGAGAAACAGTAAAGAGATGGGGAGGGTTGTTTAAATGCCTGTCTTTAAAATAGATGGTGCTTCTTCTGAGCTAGACGTTAGCGTTTTTCTCTCACCTTTTTTGTAACAATAAAGTTTTTAACCTTTTGCTAGTAAGTAATTGCTTGAAAACATGGGTAGCATAAAATCAAAAAAGTGTACCAGCTTAAAAGTTGAAATCAATGAAGGAACTAAAATAATCTGGTTTTTTTATACTTTGGGGGTGAGATTTGATCACAAGCCATACCACATAATGACCCTACCTTAATTAGGCTCTTTGTATTTTTTGTTTATCCACTATACATAGCCAAGAATTCCTATGGTTGTGACCTTCAGCAATGGGAACTTTGGTCAAGGGATGACATTTACAGCAACTCCAAGTAAACATGCAAGAAGCTGTCCCTTCTGGCCCTTCATCTAACTCCTCCACTGTGGTCACTTGGTTGTTGTGCAAGTTCAGACACTGCAGCTGAGACTGTTGGGTGACTAGATGTCTGAGTTTTCCTGAGACGGAGGGGTTCCCCAGAATAAGGTCTTTCTTTGCTAATCCTAAATAGTCCCCTTGTTATTACCATAACAAGGCTCAGATATAGACTTTCTGAGAGCAGCTACCTATATTTCACCAAGTTCAAAAGTGACAGAAACGTCACACTGTGTGAAGGCTCCATTCAATGCACCCAGCATTTTCTTTTCTTTCTGTATGCCAGGGCATGAGGGGAGCTCATGAGACAGTGTATCATGAGGCTGAAGTCTAAACCTCATCTAATTCTAGTCAGCCTCCAAAAGGCTGAACACTCTCCTCCTGTCTCCTTGTAATCAATTCATTGTCATCAGAAATGTGTGACACCTCAAAGGGAGGGAAGGACATGTCTTGAAAACTGATCAGAGAAATTGTCCTGAAAATGATGCTGTTAAATGGAAATGAGACCTTTAGAAAGAGAACATGAGAAATCAGTAAGCTTCAGGGCAGAAACCAAAGAAAATAGAGAGAGAAGTGGGGGCAGGCCCTGGTGGGCAGCAGGCCGGATGTCCCAGGGCCAGATGTGTAAATGGCCCTCTGACCTTCAGAAGGAGAAAGCTGGCTGGCCACCCTGGTCCAGGCCCCATTGGGTGAGTTTATTTTCCTCATAATTAAAATAGGAAGTGGTCAGTGAGCCTCAGCGTTTCCTCTAGGGTTCTTGTAAAGGCCTGCATTACAGTGTGAACAGTGGCAGTTCTGGCTATGGGAAGCTGATGTTTGGACCAGGAACTACCTTGACTGTTCACCCAAGTAAGTGTAAGAGGACGGCAGCATGTGGAGAATTCTGGAATTTCATCTCTGTTGCCAAGTTTTATAGGAACAGATACTGTCTGGGAGCCAGACCTTGCTTGTAGTTAACTAGCATCATCGAAGGTCTTTTCTCTTCTTCAATCTCAATATGCTGAGGTTCCCTTTTGGACTCTAAACCCAGTTCTCTCCCCTTGTTATGAGTACTGCTGACCTTGACCTTCACCTTGGAAAGCTAGAATCTTTTCTGCTTTCAGGACCCTCTCTGGAGGTGAGGCCTTTAGGGTAGGGAAGTCACACTTTCCAATTCTATTTTTTAGCACCATTCTGTCAGAGAGTTCTTCCATATATCAATCTTAAATTCTTTTTGGCACAGCTGAGGCAAATTCCACTGGTATCACCCACAGGGGAGAGGGATAATTGGGAGCCGTTTGAATAGGTACATGATATTCAGTTCAGAATGGGTTTTAAATGAAAGCAGAGAGGGGTAAACTCAAAACTGAATAGGAATCTGAGCCCTTATTTCAAATCCCTCTATGTTCCCTGTATGTCTCCTACTGCTCCTATAAATGCAAAACTACAAAAAGAAAGAGAGAAAGGATAGACAGAAATAAGCAGCCACTGTGTCCATTTCCTATCACCTGAAACCACAGCCAAAGGATTACAATTAATTCTGAAGAGTTTTAGGTACAGGGCTTAACACTTTCCTCCTCGTGGTGATTTGTATCCTTGCATCCTTGCTGATAATTAGAGCAGATAGAAAGATTCGACTTTGGTGTGTTTGTGGCTGCGCCCCACTGGGAAGAGAGAGAAATGCAACTATTTTTTAAGATTCATAAAGTTCCTTCTGTCGGTCGTCATAAAACTCCCCACTGCAGGGAGACGTGTGACAGCTATGAGAAGATGATATTTGGAAAGAGGACTCTAGTAACAGTGAAGCCAAGAAAGCTGGAAGGACCCAAACTCACAGCATTCCAGCATTTCAGGCCTTTTGGCTCTTTCTTCGAGGGGCCCTAAGAGAGCCAAATGGACATGAATTAAGAAGAGCCTAGAGCTTGGAGAGTGTGGGCACTTGGAAATGAGAAATGAAAAGAATCAGAGACGGGCAGGGAAAACAGTTAAAAAACAGGACTATGTCTTTCACTGCAGCTTGGTAAGACTGAGGTGGGAAGGAGGTTATCACAGAGAAGGCACCCTGTCTCCAATTGTCATTGAAGGGCATGCTGTCTTCCCAGGGTCTCCACCCAGGACAGTGCCCTCTCACATACAGGGATGAATCCAGGCCCTATGTGTCCAGAGCAGCTATCCTTGTGCAGGCATAGTTGCTCAGGCAGATAGCACAGTGCCACTTCTGCGTGTGTGTAGGAGGTGTCTGACATCACTGTCTTTATCTGCACCTCTGAGTACCAGCATAAATTCAGACCGGGTGAGTGTGGAGCTAGAATCTGCCAGCACTGCTCTTTGGCTGAATACCCTCTTGTTGTGATGTCTCAAATATGCAAGATGCTTCTGAGTGAAGTCTGGTTCTAGTGAGAAGGCCATAGGTTGGACCAATATTGCCCATTTTTTGTTAAGTTTCTCTGAGCACTGTAATGTGAGAGCCAGAACTGAGAGGTTGACATTTGAGCTCAAGAACCAATTGACTAAAATATGCCAACGGGGTCTGAAAGGCCAAAAGTGCCTTCAGAACTCAGCCATTGTTGCTAACTCTCTGGCAGTTGTCATTTCAGCAAAATGCATCCACTTAGAAAGGTCAGCTGTTCATTAGCCAGACAAATGAGAACAACATATTGACCAGCGATAAGGAGCGGGGCGCCCCATCTCGGCCTCTGAAAGCCTGGCATTTCCAGTCCTTTAATCACAGCATGCTGTCTCGGAGAAGGCAGATCAGTGGTGTCTGAGGGCCTGGTGTCACCAAGGTAGGGCTTGGAGATGGAAATGAGATGCAGATGGGAAGGCTGAACAGACTTGGGAATAACAGGGAAAGGAGGAGGAGACCAGGGGGCTGAAGGATGCTTTTAAATCTGCTGCATGTCAGAAATTCTAATGACGCCAAAGTGGAGAAGTACACATTCTTAGCGAGTTTCCTGTTATTCCCAACAGACTCTGGCCTAGCGATACCTCCAACTCAGATCCCATAGGTAATGCTGAGCAGCATCTGCGATGCCTTTTGAAGTGGCATCAAGAAAGACTGAGGTCTGTGACACCCTAGGAGTCACCTGTCAGTTATTGTAAAGGGTTGAGTAGCTGTGTAACATCCTCCTACAACAAGCTGGTGTTTGGCCAGGGAACAAGACTCTCAGTCATTCCAAGTAAGTCTTCCCACGGTGTTGCCTGTGGACTGAGGTGGAGCTGATACTCATCAGACATGGGGCTCAAATGGCTGTGCAGCTGGCAGAGTGGCTGGGGTCAGAAAGTGGAAGGAGTAGAGATATAGTAACTGTAGTCAGAAAGAAAAGGTCAAATAATGGCAAATGTAGGCTTAGTCCTCAAAAGGTGGCATGGAGAGTGTAGGACCTGAAAGTGGCCACGTATAAAACAAGCCATCCTCTACCACCACATTCTCACTGCCTGTGGGGACAAGGTGGGGTGGAGAGAACGAGCAATGGACACTGAAAATGAGGGATCCCACAGATGAGGCAGGGTGGAAGGTGGCAAGGTGGTCAGAGCCTCGGACCAGGTTAATTTAAACTAATGAATTGTTCCAGAACAATTTCTTTATTTAAAGAAATAAAATTCTTCCCAGAGTCAAAAAATGTCAGAAGGATCCCTGATTAAAATGCATTTCAGAATCATATGATCATCTGGAGAGAAATTAAGTCTTGAAAGAAAGAGAATTTTTTTAATACCCAAGCATAGTGCAAATGGCCCTAGCCTTTTAATTAGACAGCGAGCAGCACAAGATGCACATTAGCCTTCCTTTTAATCCACTCTCAGGAGGAACTGTCCCTCCGGCTGCCTGTGGTCGCAGCTGCTATGAGCCCTGGAGCTCTTTCCTACTAATACTCCTGCTCCTGTGCCGTCCACAGAGGGTGGCGGGAGCGAACCGCCTGCCTGCCAGGACCTCTGGTGTGGCCCAGGTGTAAGCTCTGGCTCTCTCTTCCTCCTGGTTTTTGTTGAGCTTCCTATCACAGTGGAACACCGGTAACCGGTTCTATTTTGGGACAGGAACAAGTTTGACTGTCGTTCCAAGTAAGTCGAAGAAAATTTTCCATCACCATTGTGTAAAACAAACTCTTTCAACTGCAGAAAGAATGGTCAAAAGCCTGCTACTCTGCTTCTCTGCTTCTAGGTAGAACTATCTGCAGCATAGCACCGAGTGCCTCCTCTCCGCCCCAGCAATGATTTATGCCAGCACAGGTTTTTAAATGCTCCGCCTGAAAATTCCTGTGGGCAAGGGACAGGCAGGGCTGTTTGTAGCCAAGGTCTCCCCCCTAACTCCCTTCCCATGACTGCACTGAATGGGCTCCATATGGCAGAGGCACCCAGAACAAAGGGTTGAAGGATGACTCTTGATGTAAGCAAAGGGGGAAGGAGCTAAAAAAAGGGCAAAAAACAAACACAGAATGATAAGGATGGTGGAAAAGGGTGGCAGGAGGTCCAGACTCAAACCTGAGAGATGCACAGATACCACCTGGAGAGAGAAAACGAATTTCTGTTCTCCCTAAAGACAAATTGGCAGAAAAGCCAAAATACATGTCAAGCCTCCCCTAATGACAGCCTTTTGTCCTGGTTTCTCTCAGTTGTTCCAGCAGGAAATGCTCGGAAAGGGTCACTGGTGGCTTTGATCTCCTGGAAGCATTGCAGGGAGTAGGCTCACGAGAAATGGGTAGGGCTTCCAGGAGAGACTGGAGAGTTTGGAGCCATGGTTTTTGTAATGGCTTAGCACACTGTGTCTAGCTACGGAAGCCAGACATTAAACTTTGGAACTGGAACCAGAATCACCATTATACCCAGTAAGTACTTCATCCCTGTCAGAAAATCATCTTGTGTCATATTCTGAGGGTCATATTGGACCACACAGGCTTAGATAGAGATTACCATCTGTAGAGATGAGTGGCAGTCAAACATCTGAGTTTCTAAGGGAACTCCAGTCTTGAATATTTAATTCATAACTAAAAAATATGATTCACAATTCTGTTTTTGCTGCTGCCATCGTGTGCTAACGTGACATGTGAGAGAACTGAGACAGAATGACTGCATCTTCACTTTTGTATGATAATTTTAACTTTAAATTCTGTAAGTGTTTGGAAAAAAACATACGATATCAAAGAGACGAACAAACCAAGAGACCCAGAGTGACGACAGACAAAATGTCAGGCTGTATAATTTTTGTGTGTGTGTTAAATTCTTTTATTGGTGCATTGTAGGTATACAACACAATTACATTTCTCATTGGGAATTGTACCTTTACATAATGCATCTTGGTTCTTATTTTTTCCCCATTCCTAGCCCTCCCTTCACGCCCTCCACCCTTCCCTATTTACAAAGACTTTATTTCCATTTTTTCCATTTCTCAGCATTTTTCCTTTCCCTTCTTTCCTTTCCCCTGCCCCTCCCACTACCCCTCCCCCTTTGGACCTTTTCTTCCTATTTTGCATTATCGATTATTCATTCTAATCATTGGTACATTTTAGGTATACAATATAAAGTAACCCAGTGTTGTCTGTTTTTGTCAATGATAAATGTCTTCAGAAAGGTACTAAAAGCTGGTGCTCTAGGTGGGGCAGGGTTACTCTAAGTAGGAAGGCTAAGCACAGACCCCAAGGATAAAGTTGAAACTTGAAAAACTCCTGGGCTTTTGTCCCCCATGGAGCTTATGGATGTGGCAGCACCTCTGCATTTAGTTAATTACAGTTTGGACAAAGCATGGGATTAACTTTGTTACACACACATACCTGAGATGATAAATGATAGATAAGTAGATAAAGATGTACCAGACATGCATGTGCAGAGTAAGGTGCAAAGTGTGGGGCAAACAGATTTCTTATACCTATAATGAGAAGCTGTGGAAAGTTTGAATATGTTTACTTTGCACCAAAGACAGCATCACAAAACGGGGAAAAAAATACATAGAAGAACAGGAACTAGAGGTATGGAACCTTTCCGAGCTCGGTTTCCCCAGCTGTCTTAACCACTCTGTTACCTAGAAGCCTCGTTTCTCTTTTTGCTTTTCTCCATTAGAAATTAAAGGCATGAGTATTGGGGATTTGCATGGCTGACTCTAATAGTGAAAATTATATTACAAAGCACCTCTCAGCAAGGCCGGATAAAGCACCTGTAGACATCAAGGTCTATTTCTTCTCTTCTCGCTGGATAAGATAGGGAAATAGTCTCTCCTTGCTCTGAACCTAGGGACACGGAGCACAGAACAAATTCCAGTGTTAGAAATGAGGTAGCAGCAGAACTAAGCCATGGAACTTGGGGACCCAGTGACAGTCAGTCTACTCTCTCCCAGATGCCACAGTGGTCTGAAATGTCCAAGAAACAGTGTCAGGGTAGATCATAGCACACTCAGCGAAAAGGCCACTGAGAGAAACTGGGTATAAGACCACTTTACCCAAAAGGGGTCAGTCAAAGTGGCTCTAAACCAACTCATAGCCCAAAATATTTGAAAACTGTGGAAGCCAGCTATAGTCGGTTCATTTTCCAAGCAGTGCTTCCAGAAATTTTTAGTAGTTGGTAATTGCTGTGGGTTTAGCACTTGGAGAATATCATGAAAGAGTAGAATTATTTGGAACAGGAGGATCTGATTAGAATTAATGAGATGAAAGAAAATTCTGCCTAGAGGGATAGAAAAGTCCTGAGAAAAAAGATACAGTAAAAGAGTCACAGCATTTATTTTAACCTAAACAGCAAAGAGCAAATAGGATCCAAATTCTAATGGACAATCAACTTTGCACATTTACAAAACTCTCCAATCATTATACTGTCATTGGCCAAATACCGTCAGGTCTTAAATGCAAAGTAGAACAGTCCTCTGTTTCAGCACTAAGTCACCCACATTTCACCCGACCCCCACTCACACCCAAGTGCTGTTTTTGTAGAGGAGTTTAATGTTGTGTGAACTACGGGAACAAGGTGATCTTTGGCTCAGGAACAATTTTGAAAGTCAAGCCTTGTGAGTACAAAAGACATTCTGGTCTACTCTAATCCTAACTCAAGTTTTGAATAGAGTCTGACTTGGAGGTATTTGATTCTAAAGAAAGAATAAGTGAAATTCCAGGTGCAAATACATACACTTCCTTAGTTTGATTAAGAGTTGCCATGCACTACCTTCGAGAGAGTTAAATATGCCAATTTATCAATGTGACCCACAGCTTTAAAATGGTGTTTAAACTCAAAAAAGAAAAGAAAAATCAGCTTCTCTGTGGACCCCACTGCTTGCTGTTTGGGTATCTACATTTGCCAAAAGGAACTGCAGCTTACATATTTGAGCTTAGAGATTTCTCCTGAGCCTGTGACTTAGGTATAAGAAACACTGCATATTGCTTGGCTCGCAGGCCGTTTCTGGGATGAGTGTCAGGAAAAAGCCCAGGCAGACAAGTTGGTGAGGAGACACATGACAAGTGTCTGTCCTATTTCTGTAAAGCTGCTGGCAACAGTGAGGAGAAGCAGTGGGGACAAGCTGACTTTTGTGCCCAGGACTCATTTATCAATTAGGCCTAGTAAGTCTGAGCAGGAAGTACAATCTTTATGTCTTTTCCAGTTGTTTGCTCTGGCCTGACATTTGAATTTTCCTCTTTTAGGTTCCAGACATACAAACTACTGTGTCTTTTTGTGTCCCTTTTGAAATTTGTGACTAATGTCCTTTGTTCTACCCCCTCTCCTGTGTGACAGAGGAGTTTTGTGGCCATGGTCACTCTGATGGAGAAGTTGACAGTGATGTAGTTGGTAGTTGCATCACAACTCTCCTAGTCCTCATCCCCAGGTCCCTCACCGTGGTAATGAGAGATGTGAGATTTTATGCCAACAACAAGAGAGAGGAAGAAATGACCAGTAGCATAGGCCAGGGCTGCACACTGTCACTGGTGATTGTGGCCCTCAGAGCAGCTGTAGAGATTCAGGGAAGCTCAGGGCCTGATTTTCTGGCAAAGAGGTTTATGTCAAGGGTTGTCTCAGAGTGTGAATACTGGAGGTGCTCGACAGCTCACCTTCGGGAAAGGCACCCAGCTGATCATCCAGCCCCGTAAGTGCTTCCATCTGGGAGGTAGAGGTCTAAATGCAGTCCCCAAGGGAACATTTACAAACCCTTTACTGAAGCTTTTGGTACAACTGACACCATTGGTACCATCCCTAGTACCTAGGAGAT